CCCCACCCCACACACACGCACGCACACACACGCACACGCTCACATACACACACAAGTCTGCAGGTGCATGCGTGATAAACATCCAAAATATGAAAACACACACACACACACACAAACACAACACACACCAACATACACACACGTACTCATGCGGGCTCCTTCATGAAAAGAAAATAATACAATAATGATCAGAACACTCGGAGGTTGACGTGACCCCTGGGTTAGTGTGTGAATTGAAAGCTCCTCTCGTTAAACGTGGGAATACCCAGGGCGGCGGCGCAGATCCCAGTCATGAAAACATCATCTAACCACACATTCTTCGTCCTTCTGGCCACCTCGTACAGCAGCTTGACAGTGGACACGGGGTAGCCTATTGCTCCTCCCAACACGTAGGGCGGGAATGTATCGGGTTCATACTCTTCTTCGGAGAGATAATAATGAGGTCGCTCCTCTCTCCGAGACGGAGCATCGCCTACTCGTTGCTTTCCAAGAATGAAATTTTGCCGCTCATCGCTATGTCGCCTCAGGGAAACCAACATAGAGTCTATCTTAACGCCCACGTCATCATCGGTTCTGAGCACAAATTTGGCCTTGGGGCAAAAGTTGATCACCCATTGAAGCATGGACAAATGCTTAAACAAAATATTTCTATACTTGTCCTCAAAATATGCAATGACCACATCAGCGTATTTCTCACTCTCCTCCTGAAGTTTGGCCCACTTTTGTGTTTTATTCTTTCCAATGCCCGCTGGAGGAAGTCCTACAAAGAAAAGCAAAAGCGCGTTCTGAGAATGTGCTCTGACGTATTTTCCTTGCGGGCCATCTCTCACCTTTTGCCTTTTTTCAAAATTGCCCCACCCAGACGGAACCGTTATGATAACTTCGGGAGTCATGTTCGTACATTTCTGCTCGCGTCCGACCAAATACATCATGTTATGTTGGTTTATGATAGGAGAGCTTAATAAACGTATTGCAGCCTTTTTGGTCTCCACCGCTTTCTGGACTTCTTGATCTAAGTACTCCAGAGCAAACCCCTGTTCAGGTCCTGCGTTAGGCGGAGTTTCTTGTATTATGTGGGCATATGTCTTTCTTGACGATGTCGATACGGGAATACTGGCACTTGCTGGTTTCTCAGAGGGCACTGTCGAGTTGAGGAATGGGTTTTGCGAAATGAGTTGAGCAGTGTTTCTCGTGTGTTGACGGTTCTGTGTGGCGCAGGGGGAGGCCGAGAGAATGTTGTCTTTGTTGGCGTTGTAGATGAGGACCAGCACAACAAAGGAAATGCCCAAGGTGCTTAGCAACGGAGCTCGACGGCTTACCATGGACTTCAGTACCATAGTTGAAGTTGTCTGTATACGTCAATGGTCTTGGCCTGAATCGAAGAAAAGAGAAGAAAGAGGCAAATGTAATTCTCGTCAAGCTTTTTTTGTTGTAGATATCGGTAATTTCTGTTGATATCAACATTGCTGCTACATATTTTGTTTGCTTTTTCAATTAATGGTCGATGTTTTTGTTGTTGATGTTGTGTGTGTGTGGTAGCCTATCCGTTCGAAATGTTTGGAGCCCCGAAGAGCGTCCTCTTCGCCAGGGCCACCGCCTCCCTTAGGTAGCGGGTGAGG